TATGCTGACTCTCTGTAAACCGCTTAGAGAGGCCTGAAAGGCCTATGAAGCGGTATATAAGTCTACTGCTATTGCTATTGCTATTGCTATATATTGCTATTGCTATATTGCTACCTATTCGCCGATGGCAACTCAAGGCGGCTTACAGAACATAAAACCACATTTAAAACAATAAAAACTAACAAAAAGAGTCAAATAAATTAATATAGTACAATATAACAAAATCACCTCCCACCCACCCCGCACTGGCGACAGCAGATCACACAAGCCATTTAATGGGCTCCATCCCACTCTGGGTTCCCCAGGCCCGCTGGCAGAACCAGCTCTTCAGAACCCTCCGGAAGAGTGTTAGAGTGGGCGCCAGTCTAATCTCTGGGGGAGTGATGTTCCAGGGAGCCACCACAGAGAAGGCCCTTCTCCTGGGTCCCACCAAGTGTATCTCCTTCAGGGATGGGACTCGCAACATTCCCTGTCTCCTCGCTCTGATGGGTCGGGTAGATGTGACAGGCAAGAGAGGATCCCTCAGATATATTCCTCTGCAAATAACAGAATAACAGAATTGGAAGGGAGTTTGGAAGCTTTCTAGTCCAACCTGCTCGAACAGGAAACCCTATAGCATTTCAGACAAATGGTTGTCCAATATCTTCTTTAAAACTTCCAGTATTGGAGCACCTACAACTTATGAAGGCAAGTCAGCAATTAATTAAACCACTGACTAATTCTTCTGTCAGGAAAGTTCTCTTTAGTTCTAGGTTGGATCTGTCCTTGATTGGTTTCCATCCATTGCTTATTCTCTTGCCTTCGGGTGCTTTGGAAAATAGGTTGACTCCCTTCTTCTTTGTGGCAACCTCTTCCCTTAAATATTGAAAGACTGCTATCATGTCATCCCTGGCCCTTTTCAATAAACTAGACAATTCCTGCAACTGTTCTTCATATGTTTTAGCCTCCACTCCCATAATCATCGTTGTTGCTCTTCTCTGTACTCTTTCTAGAGTCTCAGCATCTTTTTTTATATTGTGGCGACCAAAACTAGATGCAATATTCCAAGCTGCCAAACAAGTTGGCAGAGCCAGATCTTCAGGCATTCCCAGGAGTCCAGAATAGAAAGAAGGTTATGTTCCTGGATTCTACCATTCAATATTCTTTTAACTGATGGAGTCTCTAACAAACCCTCCCTGCCTAACAGGGTGTGACAGCCCAATGTAGTGGGAAGAAGACAGTTCCACAGGTTTCCATGCCATGTAGAGTTTTAAAGGTCATAACAAACACCTTGAATTCAACCCACAAGCAAACTAGCCAGGGGTGAGCTTCAAAATTTTTAGCAAGGGTTCTCTGCCCAGTTGCTGGGCAGGTATGACCATGGTGGGCATGGCCTAGTCGGCCTCCTGCTCCACAGTGGAGGGGGGGGGATATTTGCCTCTCTGGGCTCCGGAGAGTCTTCTCGAGCCTCTGGAGGGCGAAAACGGTCTCCCTAGGCTCCAGAGGTCCTCTGGAGACCAGAAATAGACCTGTTTCCAGTCTTCCCGAACTTCTGGTAGGCTCTCCATGAGCCTCTCTGCGTGCCCTACACTTACCTGCATCCAAAACAGGCCGCATCGGGACTCCTGGGAGGGGCAGGGCGGGGCCAGCCAGGAGTGGGATTTGGAGGTTCTCCAAACTACACAGAATCTTAGCTAGAGCTTCTCCCAAACTCCTGTGAACCCCCCAGCAGCCCACCCCTGATTAACTAGCACCCACCGCAGCTCACACAGCAAAGGTGCTACATGCGCCATCCTTGGGGCGCTCAGGATTTCTCATATAGCTTAATTTTTGATACCAGAGCTGAGGCTTCCAAATACTTTTAAAGGATAGCCCCATGTACAGTGGATTGCAACTGATACCATTATCCTGTACCAATGGGTGTGTCTTAGAAAGTATGGACTTTAGACCAGAAGTGGTATTCAGCAGGTTCTGACCAGTTCTGCAGAACTGGTAGTGGAAATTTTGAGAAGTTGGGAGAACTGGTAAATACCACCTCTGACTGGTCTTGTCCCCATCTATTCTCTGCCTCTCGAGTCCCAGCTGATTGGGAGGGAATGGGGATTTTGCAGTAATCTTCCCCTGGAGTGGGGAGGGAACGGAGATTTTACAGTATCCTTCCCCTGCCACACCCACAGAACCGGTAGTAAAAAGATTTGAATCCCACCACTGCTTTAGACTGTTACAATTTGACTATAAAAAAATCACCTCAGTGAGCAAAAAACGATTATGTTGAGTGCATGGATGCTATTTATTTGACACAAATGATTTCTGTTTATTAATTTCTGACACACGCACAAGTATGCATTTGTGCCAGTTTTTTAGGCACAGCAGTGATATTTACACAATCCACCCAGTGTGTGGCACCAGGGGAATAAAAAAATAGGCCAGTTTGTCCAGGAGAAACCACAGCTCCCGAGCACAGAAGGGGCAGCGTTTTGTATAGGTGAAATGTCTTGGGTCAAATCCTTGGGTACAGACTGGCACAAGTACGAGACTGTATCTGTTTCTCCTGCTTGGGGATCTGGTTTGTTTGGTCTCATGTTAAATTTACTTAAAAATTGTGGTTGGAAAGATTGACTGGAATTAGAATGTTATGGAGTTCAGATTCTTCTTAAAACCAGCTGAAAAGAAGCCAGCCATGAGAATACAATCCAAAGTAATTACGGTGTGAAAAGTGGAATTTACTGTGCCAGAAAAAGACCGAGAGCTGGAAACGAGAGTAATGAGATGTGGAAAATGGAATAAAAGATCACAAAATCAGTATGGCCTGTACAATTTTGAAGATACTCCAGCCCCCAAGGAATGGCAACTATTTCCATTGTTAAATTCAATTTATACATCCCCGGGGGTGGGTGGGGGGAGACCTCTTCTAGCAAGTGAAGCCCATTTAAGCACATAAAAAGCAAATTTAATGTTTCCAATTGGCCTTTCCAGAATGTGGACATCATCCGGAGATTCAGAAGTAGGACCTGATGGCAGATTGGCTTTTCAAACCCAACAATTGGTTGGTACAATTACAGGATTTTTGGCAGAAGGAAATTAGTTACTTCCATAGATGTAATATTTAAACCACTTAATCTGAGAGATATAATTTCTTGGTTTGGAAAGATCAAAATTAAATTGGGGGAAGAGAGAGGCTTTAGAAAACCCACAGAGTCGTCTGAAAAATGGAGTGCAACAGCAATAGCAGTTAGACTTATATACCGCTTCATAGGGCTTTAAGCCCTCTCTAAGCGGTTTACAGAGTCAGCATATTGCCCCCAACAACAATCCGGGTCCTCATTTTACCCACCTCGGAAGGATGGAAGGCTGANAGCAGCCTTATGGGGGTTGTAATCCAGCGCACTGAGAGGTCAAGAGCAAGGGGGAGACAATGGAAGACGAAGGAGTGAAGCGGTCCTAGGAAAAGTCCGCTTTACCCCATCGGCGTGGACGCCTTTTGGAGAACCCAAACGAGGCCGACCGTGGGTAGCCCCGAGAGGAGCCGGGGAAGCGAAGCCGGACCCGGGAAAGGACGCTCAGGGGCTGCTCTGCTTACCTGCTGCTCGGCTGCTTCCATCCTTCCGTCTACAGGATGAGCCTGTCCACAGGACCTCTTGTCAAGCGCGCCCGGGAAGCAGCAAGGAAGCGCCGTCTGCTTGGCTGATGCAACGCGGTGCGCCGGATTGCGCGCAGCTCTCCGCCCCTCGGCGCCCGGGAGGGACGGCCTTGCCTGGGCGGAGTTTTGGGAGGTGCAAGGCCGGCGCCGGGTGGATGGGGCCGGTCTCAGTAGCCGGAGATGCCCCGCCTTCCAAGAAGCGCCCTCCAGATGGGTAGGAGTGGCGTTCCCAGGATCCGCGAGCGCGCAGGCAGCGCTTTTCTTCTCGCTGCTCTGGCGGGCGCCGCGTTGGCGCTCGTCCGTGCTGAAGATTGAGGAACAGCCAACACGCCGATTGCAGAGAGCGAAAAATGCAATTTCGACCGAAGGAGGAGGAGGGAGCACGTACAGGTGGTCCTCAACTTACGACCACAACCAGTGGTGTATTAACCATTAAGCGGAGTTAAGCACGTGCTGAGGGCACCAGGCCGGGGTGGGGTGGGGTGAGGGAACCACAAATTGAGAAAATAAAAATAAAAACCAATGAAGATATGTAACAGTATTACAAAGGAGGGGGCCACCAAGATTTGTCAGTGCTTTAGGGCAGTGTTTCTCAACCTTGGCAACTTGAAGATGTCCGGACTTCAACTCCCAGAATTCCCCAGCCAGCGAATGCATT